ACAGGGTATATTTTTCCATCTTCTAAGATCTTCTTTTATTTCTCTCTTTAGGGTTCTGTAGTTTTCATTGTATAAATCTTTCACGTCTTTTGTTAGGTTGATTCCCAAGTATTTTATTTTTTTGAGGATATTGTGAATGGGGTGGTTTTTTGAAATTGTTGTTTAAGTCAAGCCATATTCATTTTAGATTATCACTGGACTATAGCTACTACTGTACTCTACTTTATACTTTTAATGGGATTCTCAAGTTATGGTGTCATCAAATTTCTCTTTCTTAAAAGACTCTGATAAATTTCAAGGTGGTGAAACCAGTATTACTGAATTGTTTTCTCATTACTCCATTTTTCAAGACTACCAGTTTGGGTCATTATTCGAACTTTAAGGACATAACTTCCCCCAGATACCACCTTGTTGGTCTTTAAATTAGAATAGCTAACTATAGCTATATAACATTTTGTACCAGTTACCACTTTCTTAACTATCCTTTGTGTAAAGAACGTATCCTTAAAGAGCTTTGAATTAGCAGTTCTAATTTCTAAAATTCTCCAGCATGGCCAGGTAATAAAGTTCCAACTTTAATGTTGGATATTAACTTTTATAAGCCAACTGCATATAAAGTTAGCCTTTTATCTCAATATATGTGTTTGAAAGTTCTATGTACTTTACCTATTTTTGTCACTATTTCAGTACATTTTAAAATAATAAAGAAATATAATAAAAAATAATAAATATATCTGGTAAATTTCTGCATATTGACAAAATAATTAGATTGTAAACTTTTCATACTACATGAGGATGTGAATTTTGTCTATTGAATCAGCACTGTAATTACAATCTGAAGAGGGCCACATCTTATCATTCTTACTGCCCCTTCAGGACCAGTTATGGGAAGCTTTTGATTGCCTTCTTATGATTTACTTTGTTTACATGTTTAAGAAAAATCAACGTAAAAAAATTCTATTCTCTGTAAGACCACAAAAGTTCATGTAAACTTAACACAATATAAAAATCTAATTTAGGGGCTGGGGCTGTCCCTCAATGGTAGAGTACTCGCTATGCACATGTGAGGTACTGAGTTCGATCCTCGGCACCACATAAAAATAAAAGGTATTGTGTCCATCTACAACTAAAAAAATACATAGTAAAAAAAATCTAATTTATTAAGTTTATTCCTTAAATAATTCCTTCAGTTCAGTACTGTGAGAAATGTAAAGTATTTGCTCTTCTCCAACAAAGAACAAATCTGAAAAATTTTATCCAAAGTATACTTTTATAGAAAGGGCTATATTACTAATTTAATTCCTTTCATCCCATTAAAGACTAATTCATTATATTCTCTTCAAGTAAATTACTGCATGAATAGATAAGAGACTTTAATGCAGTAAAATTTATGTTGTCTACAAACTGGCATATTGTGGTATAGGTATTAAATTCTTTATCAGTAATGTTTTTTAGGGTGTCATTTGTTGATAGCATCTTTTTATAATTTTAACAAATTACTTTCTTACTAGAAAAGTAACCTTTTCTTGAACTATTGCCATTTTCAATCTTAAATATTTTTAGGATATGCATTTTCAGTGAAGCAAAAAATGTTACAAATATTTTATATATTGYTGAGTAATGTCAGTCTAGTAGTTTGTCACTGGCTATGACTTATAGATGCTTTAACTTTATTTCTGGTTATTTTTTGATAGCTTTTTAAATTATTAGTTGCCGCAGTCTGGCTGGGCACAATTCAGGAGCCACTTGTCAAAAGAAACTAACTTTATTTTTAGAACTACAAACGCCAAGCAAAACAGCTCCTCAGGAAAAACCCTCAGAGCCCAACTGCCACCACCGGCTTCCACCAGCCTCTCAC